GTGATATAACACTCCCACCCTCATCCAGATAAGTCCTCTCCTGGGCTTACATAATCAAATACAGCGCACAAAAAAATATGCGCACGCAATATATAATTATAATCCCGGAGAAGAGATGAATCAATTGTTGAGTGGAATGATTGTATTTCAGGAGAATGATGCCTAACATACGCCATTCATCAACAGTAAAGTAGGAGACATTATAGTCTCGGCAGAAGTAACAGCCTACATACCTATGCATATTTGCGAGGTATGTTTATGATATTGGTGCAAATTGCCTGTACCTCTTCAAAATCTCGAATACCTGACCGTTCCTAATCATCCATACAGCCTGTTCAGGTAAACTTGTTATCTCTGCTTTTCTATGTGTCTGAAGCATAGAACACTAATATATAATGTGTCAATGTATGTGATCTAGGTAAACTACACACCCTGCATTCTTTTTCTTTCTCGCTTGCTGGAACGCCTAACTCCCAATAGTATTTATATCCAAGCCTGATTCTCATGTACAGACTGTCTTTCCATTTGCTCTTGCCCTTCCCATAAGCAGAGTCTGTGTTCGTCGCTAGATGCATATAGTGTCTCAGAGTATCGCTTTTCCTAATCGCTTCGCCCTTCCTGGCCTCGTCATAGTCTAACTGTGTCCTCTTCATATTGCTCTTTGCCTGTTTGAGAGTCCGCATGCAGTGAATGTCTACCTCATGCTTCCTGGTCGCGAACCTAGTAAGACAACTCATAAGCTGCAAATTAATACCTGTAACTGATAAGTGAACACAGAATACAAAAATAACGTCACTGCACAATTTAATAACTTGATATTAAGAATTGAACACAGAGTAAGAAATATTTAAGGAAAAGCTAGGTATTAATCACCGATTTCTTTTTCTACTTGTTTTCTTCAAAAATTCACACGGATTTTGGGTGTGGTGCAAGGCGAGGAGAAGCTGGGGAGCTGCACGGCTGACGATGCTTACGAGATTTGAAGCGGTGAGTGACAAGCAAAGCATGGCGGAGATTGAAGCGGTGAGACAAGCAAAGCATTCGGTGACAAGCAAAGCATGGCGGAATTTGAAGCGGTGAGTGACAAGCAAAGTCATGGCGGAGATTTGAAGCGGTGAGTGACAAGCAAAGTCATGGCGGAGATTTGAAGCGGTGAGTGACAAGCAAAGTCATGGCGGAGATTTGAAGCGGTGAGTGACAAGGCATGGCGGAGATTTGAAGCGGTGAGTTGGCGGAGATTTGAAGCACAAGCAAAGTCATGGCGGAGAACGGTTCATGAGATTTGAAGTGACAAGCAAAGCATGGCGGAAGCGTGACAAGCAAAGCATGGCAGATTTTGAAGCGGTGAGTGACAAGCAAAGATGGCGGAGATTTGAAGCGGTGAGTGACAAGCAAAGCGGTGAGTGACAAGCAAAGCATGGCGGAGATTTGAAGCGGTGAGTGACAAGCAAAGCATGGCGGAGATTTGAAGCGGTGAATGACAAGCAAAGTCATGGCGGAGATTTGAAGCGGTGAGTGACAAGCAAAGCATGGCGGAGATTGAAGCGGTGAGTGACAAGCAAAGCATGGCGGAGATTTTGAGTGACAAGCAGTTTGAAGCAGTGACAAGCAAAGCATGGCGGAGATTTGAAGAGTGACAAGCATGGCGGAGATTGAAGCGGTGAGTGACAAGCAAAGCATGGCGGAGATTTGAAGCGGTGAGTGACAAGCAAAGCATGGCGGAGATTTGAGCGGTGTGACAAGCAAAGTGTTGAAGCGGTGAGTGACAAGCAAAGTCATGGCGGAGATTTGAAGCGGTGAGTGACAAGCAAAGCATGGCGGAGATTTGAAGCGGTGAGTGACAAGCAAAGCATGGCGGAGATTTGAAGCGGTGAGTGACAAGCAAGCATGGCGGAGATTTGAAGCGGTGAGTGACAAGCAAAGCATGCGGAGATTTGAAGCGGAGTGAGCAAGACAAGCAAGCAAAGTCATGGCGGAGATTTGAAGCGGTGAGTGACAAGCAAAGTCATGGCGGAGATTTGAAGCGGTGAGTGACAAGCAAAGCATGGCGGAGATTTGAAGCGGTGAGTGACAAGCAAAGGCATGGCGGAGATTTGAAGCGGTGAGTGACAAGCAAAGCATGGCGGAGATTTGAAGCGGTGACAAGCATTTGAAGCGGTGAGTGACAAGCAAAGCATGGCGGAGATTGAAGCGGTGAGTGACAAGCAAAGCATGGCGGAGATTTGAAGCGGTGAGTGACAAGCAAAGTCATGGCGGAGATTTGAAGCGGTGAGTGACAAGCAAAGCATGGCGGAGATTTGAAGCGGTGAGTGACAAGCAAAGCATGGCGGAGATTTGAAGCGGTGAGTGACAAGCAAAGTCATGGCGGAGATTTGAAGCGGTGAGTGACAAGCAAAGTCATGGCGGAGATTTGAAGCGGTGAGTGACAAGCAAAGCATGGCGGAGATTTGAAGAGTGACAAGCAAAGCATGGCGGAGATTTGAAGCGGTGAGTGACAAGC